GCGGCCACTGTACTCCAGTCTGGGCGACGGAATAAGACTCCAACTCAAAAAAAAAAAAAAATCTTGAAGCATTTCTATATTTGAAGATATTATTTCATACATATTTTATTGCGTTGGTGCTAAGATATTCATTTTAAGACAAACTGTAGATAATGATATGATATTTAGGAAAAACAAAAACAAAACAGCCCCCAGTATGGTGCACAATAAATATATATGTCAATTATAAGATGCATCCCATGTTCAGATATGTCAAAATGTGCAAAAATGTGCTTTGTGAATTGAGGAAATACATTGATAACAATAATAATAATAGTAAGCTAACATTGGACACTGTATCCTAGGAAACATGCCAGGTTTTTTTCATTCATATTCTCATTTAATCTTCTTAATTACGCTTCAAGGTTAGCACTTTTTTGTGTTTTTTTTTTTTTTTGAGTTTGAGTCTCACTCTTGTCGACCAGGCTGGAGTGCAGTTCCATGCTCATGGCCACCGCAGCCTTGACCTGCTGGACTTAGGCGATCCTTCTACCTCAGCCTTCCAAGTAGCTGGAACTACAGACACATGCCACCACACCCAGCTAGTTTTTGTGATTTATTGTAGAGACGCGGTCTCATCAAGTTGCCCAGTCTGGTCTTGAACCCCCGGGTTCAGGTAGTCCTCTTGCCTCGACCACCCAAAGTGCTGGGGTTACAGGCTGAGCCACCATGCCTTGCCAGTTAACACTTTTTAAAAATCCCTGTTTTACGGAGGAGGAAACTGAGGCACAAAGACAGTAAATAACTAGTTCAAAGTTAGATCACTAGGAACTGACAGGGCTTAGGCTTGCTTTTAGGACTTTCTGTTTCCAAAGTCTCATGCTCCTTGCTACTGAGCTACAGTAAAGAATTTTTTTTTTTTAAGGAAAAAAGATCCCCTCCCATGTGGGAGCTTTTCTGTCCTCTCAATAAATTCTACTTTCTCACTTAAAAAAAAAAAAAAAAAAGAAATTACTGTAACACAAAATTTCTGGAATTATACTTTAAGCTATAATTTGAAGCTTCTATTTGGTTCTAGAAATTTGGTTAACTTTAAGGTAATTTAACATAATTAGAAGTGAACTAAAAAGCTGCTTTGTTTAGTGAAAGACAATGGACTAGAGGTATGTGCAATACTGATGAAAATTGGTAATGTGATCATTGAAGAAAGCAGATTGCAGAATTCGAACTCTTTTTGTATAAAGCTCAAAAGTTAGTGAAACTAGATGATAAATTGTGTAAGGGCATGGGCATATGTGCAAGCTATTAAGAAACAAAGGCATGATATAAAAGCAAATTTCAGAATGTTGGTTATCTTTGGTGGGTGAGTGAGGAAGAACACAGGTAGCTTCAGTGGTGGGCTCATAGTCAAATGGTATGTTTATGTGTGTTCATTTTATTATGCTTTATAACATAATATATATGGTAGGTATACTTTGTTAGAAAAAATTAAAAAGCTGATTTTTAAGTGATCTGCCACTTATGAGGATGTTTCATATTACCTGAGGGACTTTTAGCTGCTTTTTATGTATGTAGTGAAAATAAATCTCATTTGATCAGTAAAACAGTAAGTTAGTACAGATTCCTAAGAGTATTAAAGAATTATTTTTAGTAAATTATCTTTACTTAAGTATTTTAGCTTAAGTTGAACTTTCAGTATTTGCTGTAAGGATATTCATTTCTTGATAGTCATGGATAAATGTCTTATTTTTTCTCAATCAAAAGTAAGTTTTAACTTCAAAGAGCTTTAAATGTCTTTTATTTTTATTTTTAATTTTTGAGTTGGAGTCTCACTCCGTTGTCTAGGCTATAGAGTGCAGTGGCATGCTCACAGCCACCACAGCCTCGACTTTTTGGGCTCAGGTGATCCTTCTGCTTCAGCCTTCCAAGTAGCTGGAACTACAGGTGCATGCCACCACACCCAGCTCATTTTTTTTTTTTTTTGAGTTGGAGTCTCATTCTGTCACCGAGACTGGAGTGCAGTGGCCGCTCCCGGCCATCACAGCCTCGACCTGCTGGACTCCGGTGATCCTTCTGCCTCAGCCTTCCAAGTAGCCGGAATTACAGGCATGTGCTACCACGCCCGGCTGATTTTTTTTTTGATTTATTGTAGAGATGAGGTCTCACTGCCCAGGCGGGTCTCGAACCTGCGGGCTCAGGCAATCCACTCACCTCAGCCTTCCAAAGGCGCGGGATTACAGGCTGAGCCACCGAGCCCGGTTCCAGCTAATTTTTAAAAAAAATTTATTTATTGTAGAGACAAGGTCTCACCAAGTTACCCAGGCTAGTCTCAAACCCCTGGTCTCAGGCAGTCCTTTCGTCTCGGCCTCCCAAAGTGCTGGGACTACATGCTTGAGTCACCCCACCCGGCTTAAATATCTTTTAAGAAACTAAAATTTAAATAAGTTATTGATATCACACATACTCTTCATCCTACTCCCTTGTTGTAAAAGGAACTCACCAATTTATCTTCTGTCCTTTCTTTTTCACATAACTGTTTTGCAGCAAGAGCAAGTACTTTGTAACCTTCCCATATCCTTATATGAATGGACGCCTTCATTTGGGACACACGTTTTCTTTCTCCAAATGTGAGGTAAAACTTCTTTTATGTTTAATATAATCAGAAGGAAAGTCTTTAGTAAATATTGTTTTGAAGAAAATAACATCTATAGAAATTATTTCGTTTTTAGGGAACTTAGAATTCCTTAATTTAAAGCACATTTTTATGCTTAAATAAGTTAATGTTTATATTTAAGTTTTATATTTCATGTGTGTACATGTGTGCAGGAGTCTGGGCACATATGTGTGTTCTAAAGTAATTCCAAGGTTAGTGAACAGACAGAAAAAAAGGGCAGTGCACTACAATTTTGGAATGACTAAAATCTAGCTGGTATTCTAAAGGGAGATGAGAAGAGGAAAAGTAAGCTAATTTTTTTGTGTGATTTTTTGTGTGAAAAGTCAACATTTTGTATTTGGCATTTAGATTTGTAATTTAAATTTAATTTTCTTTCTGTAGTTTGCAGTTGGTTACCAACGATTGAAAGGAAAACGTTGTCTGTTTCCCTTTGGCTTGCACTGTACTGGGATGCCTATTAAGGTAAGATTACTTACAGGATTGCTTTCTACTTTTTTTTAGCTTGGAGCAAATTGTAATATCTGTTTTGAGAACTTAAAATAGGATTTTCAAACACTGCTGTATTTTGTAAAAGTGTTTGTGAAAGAAGTTGAATTTATTTATTTTTTATCTTTTTGAGAGACAGTGTCTTGCTCTGTCACCCAGGCTGGAGTGTAGTGGCACGATAACAGCTTACCACAGCCTCGACCTTCTGAGTTCAGATGATCCTCCCACCTCAGCCTCCCAAGTAACTAGAATTACAGGCATGTGTCACCATAGCCGGTTAATTTTTTAATTTTTTTGTATAGATGAGGTCTTGCTCTGCTGCCTAGGTTGGTTTTGAACACCTAGGTTCAAGTGATCCTCCTGCCTTGGCTTCTCAAAGTGCTGGGATTATAGGCATGAGCCTTCATGCCTGACCTTGAGTTGAATTTATTATAGTGAAAATTAATTAAAAAGGAAACAGCATTTGAAGAAGTGTTTAAAGAAAGGGCACACATTATGGTCTAAGTGATTACTAAATAATTTTAATGTCTTTTGGTTATTATTATTTTTTTTTTTAGTGTGGGTCTCACTCTGTCATCCAGGCTGGAGTGCTGTGGCACAATCACTGCTCACTATAGCCTGAACTCCAGGTCTCAAGCGATCCTCCCACCTCAGCCTCCCAAGTAGCTGGGACTATAGGTGTGTACCACCACACCCAGCTAATTTTTTTTTTTTTGAGTTGGAGTCTCACTCTGTCGCCCAGGCTGGAGTACAATGGCACACTCATGGCCACCCCGGCTCGACCTGCTGGGCTCTGGCGATCCTTCTGCCTCAGCTTTCCAAGTAGCCGGAACTACAAGCAAGTGCTACCATGCCTGGCTAATTTTTTATTTATTGTAGAGACGAGATCTCACCAAGTTGCCTGAGCTGATCTTGAACCCATGGGCTTAGGCAATCCACTCACCTTGGCCTTCCAAAGTGTTGGGATTACAGGCTGAGTCACCGAGCCCGGCCTAATTTTTAAATTTTTAGTAGAGGCAAGATCTCACTATGTTGCCTAGGCTGATCTTGAACTTCTGGGCTCAAGGAGTCTCCTCCCACCTTGGCCTCCCAAAGTTCTGAGATTATAGGTGTAAGATGCCATGCCTGGCCTTGAGTTGAATTTATTATAGTGAAAATTGATTAAAAGAAGAAACAGCATTTGTTTTGTTTTGTTGTGTTTTTTGAGTAGGAGTCTCACTCTGTTGCCCAGGCCTGAGTGCAGTCACACACTCTTACAGCCACCCCAGTTTCGACCTGCTGGGCTCCAGCAATCCTTTCACCTCAGCCTTCCAAGTAGCCAGAACTACAGGCCTGCACTACCATGCCTGGCTAATTTTTTGACTTATTGTAGAGACGAGGTCTCCCCAAGTTGCCTGGGCTGGTCTCAAACTTGTGAGCTTGGGCAATCCACTTGCCTCGGCCTCCCAAAGTGCTGGGATTGCAGGCTGAGCCACCAAGCCTGGCCCACTTGTTTTTTTTTTTTTTTTTTTTTTTTTTGAGTTGGAGTCTCACTCTGTTGCCCAGGCTGGAGTTCAGTGGCATTATTACAGCTACTGTAGCCTTGACCTGCTGGGCTCAGGCGATTCTTCTGCCTCAGCCTCTAAATATCTGGATCTACAGGTGTGCACCACCACGCCCAGCTAATTTTTTTATGTATTGTAGAGATGAGGTCTCACCAAGTTGCCCAGGCTGGTCTCAAACCCCTGGGCTCAGGAAATCCTTCAGAGTGCTGGAATTATAGGCATGAGCCATGATGCCTGGCTATTTTTAACTTTTTGTTTTGTAGATTGCACATTACATTTAGTTATCAGTTCTCCTCAGTATCTTTTAGTAGTTTGTCATGGTATTGATGTTTTTAAAGAGTCTAAGCTAATTATTTTGTAGAATGTCCCCTGATGTGAATTTTCTGATTGTTCCTGCATGTTTGGGCTAAATATTTTGACAAGAATACTTCACTGGTGAAGTGTAAATTTTTGTATTGTATCATATTACAAATTGTATAATGGTAGTTTGTCCAATTTTCATGATATTGTTATTCCTGCTCAGATTTCTTCATTATAAAGGTGACTTTTTTCTCTTGTAATTAAAAAATAATCTGTGGAATAATACTTTGAGAGCCTCTGAATATCCTGTTACTCAAGAGGTTTTAGCATCTTTGGTGATCCTCTCCTGTTTCAATTATTGTATTAGTGGTTACAAAACAGTGACTTTCTAATTGTATGGTTCTTTCCTCCTTTACTGAAATTCTTCTGCATAGAAGAGCACCTTCCTTTTAAAAATTCTCAATTCTATCCTCATTTTTCTGATAACTTTAACACTGTCTACTTGGTGTCATCTTTGGGTTTTTTCTGAGTTGGAGTCTCTTTCGCCCAGGAATGGGGTGCAGCGGCACACTCATGGCCACTGCAACTTCAACATACTGGGCTCAGGCGATCCTTCTACCTTAGCCTTTCAAGAAGCTGGAACTACAGGCTTGTGCTGTCAGCTGATTTTTCTTGATTTGTTGTAGAGATGCTGTCTCATCAAATTGCCCAGACTGGTCTTGAGTCCCTAGGCTCAGGCAGTCCTTTTGCTTCAGCCTCCTAAAGTGCTAGGATTACAGACATGAGCTACCACTCCCGGCTCATGTTTGCTTCTGATAACGGATTCATTATGGTATAATTGATAAAAGTTGGGGTGAAAAGTCTGGGTTTAATGTTGTCTTATAACTTCCTGGCTCTATAACCTTGGATAAATCACTTAATTTCTGTGTCTGTTTTCTGACTTGACAACTGCCTTATTTCCCTACCAGGCTTGTAGTGATAACTGATAGAGAGAGAGGGGTGTGTGTGTGTGTGTGTGTGTGTGTGTGTGTGTGTGTGTGTATATATATATATACAGTAATCTTTATTTTATTGTTATTATTAATTTGAGTTGGAGTCTCACTCTGTCATCCAGGCTGGAGTGCAGTGGCACAATCAGCTCACCACAGCCTCGACCTTCTGGGCTCAGGTGATCCTCCTGCCTAACCCTCCTGGGTAGCTGGGACCACAGGTGTGCTCCTGGCTAATTTTTTTGATGTTTTTTTTTGTAGAAACGAGGTCTCAGTATGTTGCCCAGGCTTGTCTCAAACTCCTGGCTTCAAGCAGTCTTCCTTCTTTGCCCTCCCAAAGTCATAGGATTACAGGGATGAGCCACTGTGTGAAGCCTACAGTAATCTTTAAATTGAGAAACACTTATTAATGTTGCTATTCAAAATGATAATATATCATATATGTTTTTATACTTACTTCTATTGACTAGCCTATAGTATACTACATGAGTACTCTGAGTGTTGAGCAAATGCTTGCTGAGTATAAATGAGGTAAAATACTAACTCATAAATTAGTGAAATTTGAGGTACATGACTTGTATCCTTTCAGTTTTTTATAATGATCCCCATATGTATAGACATATTGTAGAAAATTTCAGAGAGAGTCAATTTTACTTGACCGTAAAAACAACCAAAAACTCTTATGTGTCTCCCGTGAATTTTAAACTTTACTCTCTCCAATGTTCTGTCATAGGCATGTGCTGACAAGCTGAAAAGAGAGATAGAGCTCTATGGATGCCCCCCTGATTTTCCAGATGAAGAAGAGGAAGAGGAAGAGACCAGTGTTAAAACAGAAGAGATGATAATTAAGGATAAAGCTAAAGGAAAAAAGGTCTGGTGGTGGCTGATGTGTATATTTGTTGAAGTTTTATGTTTGTATTTTTTTGATTTGTATGTGCATTCTAATACTAACATAGTACCTGGCACATAAAATATGATCAGTAATTTTTTTCTTCCTTTTTTTTAATGTGCTCAGAAACTTTTAAATAGCATCAAAGCAAAACATTATCTTTCTGAATTTCCTGTTGCATTTTAAACATTTTCTTTATTTTGCAATAATTTTAGATTTATAGAAGAGTTGCAAGATAGTATAGAGAAATCAGTTCCCTTGTGATCATCATCTGTTCGCCTAATGTTATATCTTATGTGACAGTGGCACAATCTTTAAAACTAATGAATTAACAAAAGTATACTGCTATATACTAAACTATGAACTTCATTTGGATTTTACTGGCTTTTCACCAATGTCCTTTTCTGTTCAAAGTCTAGTCTACAACCCCATATTGCATTTAGTTATCATGTCTCCTTAGTATGCTTCCCTGTCTTCTCTGTCTTTTTTTTGTTGTTGTTGAAGAGACAGACTCTTGCTCTGTTGCCCATGCTGGAATGCAGTGATGCAATTATAGTCTACTACAGCCTTGAATTCCTGGGCTCAAGCAAACCTCCTGCCTCAGCCTCCTGGAGGAGCTGGGACTACAGATATGTGTCACCACACCCTGCTAATTTTTGCATTTTTTGTAGAGATAGGGTCCTGCTGTGTTGCCCAGGCTGGTCTTGAATTCTTGGGCTCAAGTGATCTTCCCACCTCAGCTTCCCACTATGCTGGGATTACAGGCATGTGCCTTCTCTGTCTTTCATTCTCTTCCATGACTTTGACACTTTTATTTTTATTTTTTTTGAGTTGGAGTCTCACTCTGTTGCCCAGACTGGAGTACAGTGGCCACTCCTGGCCACCGCAGCCTCGACCTGCTGGGCTCCAGTGATCCTTCTACCTCAGCCGTCCAAGTAGCTGGAACTATAGGCGTGTGCTACCACGCCCGGCTCATTTTGATTTATTGTAGAGATGAGGTCTCACCAAGTTGCCCAGGCAGGTCTCCAACCCGCGGGCTCAGGCAATCCACTCACCTCAGCCTCCCAAAGGCACGGGATTACAGGCTGAGCCAACGAGCCTGACTGACTTTGATACTTTTAAAGAATACGGGTCAGATAATTATAGACTCTCCCTCACTTTGGACTCGTCTGATGCTTTCTCATTGTTAGGTTGAGAGTACTAATTTTGGGGAAGAATATTAGAGAGGTAGTGTGTCCCTCTCAATGCATCATATCAGGGAGTATATGATGTTGATATGTTTTATTATTGGAGCTGTTAAACATGATCATTTGGTTAATTAAGGTGGTATCTGCCAGATTTTTCTACTGTAAATATTTTATTTTTCCCATTGAAATTTATTTTATTTTATATCAGTATGAAGTCATGGGTATTTTTATTCTTTAGGTTATAATCCAGTATAGTAGAGGTTTTGTTGTTGTTGTTGTTATTTGTGTTTCTGTGTGTGTTGTATGTGTGTGGTGTTATTTGTTTATTTTTTGTATTAGAGTCTCACTCTGTCACTCAGGCTAGAGTACAGTGCATACTCACAGCTACCACAGCCTCGACTTGCTAGGCTCAGGCGATTTTTCTGCCTTAGCTTTCCAAGTTGCTGGAACTACAGGCATGTGCCACCACACCTGCTTAATTTTTTTTTTTTTTGAATTGGAGTCTCACTCCATCGCCCAGGCTGGAGTGCAATAGCGTGCTCACAGCCAACCCAGCATTGACCTGTTGTCCTCAGATGATCCTTCCTCTTCAGCCTTCCAAGTAGCCAGAACTACAGGTGCGTGCTACCACTGGCTAATTTCTTTTTTTTTTGAGTTGGAGTCTCACTCTGTCGCCCAGACTGGAGTGCAGTGGCCGCTCCCGGCCACCGCAACCTCGACCTGCTGGGCTCCAACGATCCTTCCGCCTCAGCCTTCCAAGTAGCCAGAATTACAGGCATGTGCTACCATGCCCGGCTGATTTTTTGATTTATTATAGAGATGAGGTCTCGCTGCCCAGGCGGGTCTCAAACCCGCGGGCTCAGGCAATCCACTCACCTCAGCCTCCCAAAGGCACGGGATTACAGGCTGAGCCACCGAGCCTGGCCAATTTATTTTTTTTTATTATAGAGATGAGGTCTCGCCAAGTTGTCCAGGCTTTTCTTGAACCCGTGGGCTCAGGCACTCCCCTCACCTCAGTCTCCCAAAGTGCTGGGATTACAGGCTTGAGCCACCATGCCTGGTCAAATTTTTTATTTTTGGAGAGACGAGGCCTCGCCAAGTTGCCCAGGCTAGTCAGGCGTGTTCTCTCTCCTCCGCAGTGTCTGTGGACACCACGCACATACAGGTAGTTCTCTCTCTCCTCCGCCTGCCAATGTGTTGGTATGAGCCACTGTGCCTGGCATGTATGTGTTTTAAGATACAGGATCTTGCTGGGCAGTGCCCAGGCTGGCCCTGAACTTCTGTGCTCAAGCAATTCTCCCACTTCAACCTCCTGGGTAACTGAGACTATAGGCACTCAAAACCACATCTGGCTGCTGGGTTTTTTGTGGTGGTTGTTAATAATACCATAATTTGTGTTAAATTGTTCTAGCTTTGGCCATTGAAAATTTTCGCTTATTTGTGACATCTTACTACAGCAGTGAGAAACCTGGCTCTTGATATCTATAGTATATTTACTTGTTCAATCCTAGTCTACTAGTAAAGTAGTTTTCAGAATTACCAACCTATATGCTGGGAGAAGCAGTATTACCACCTAAAGTACAGTGTTTGTATATAGTTATTTTTGTTTTTAGAATCTGGTCAATACATTGTTTTTCAAAATTGCATAGATCAGCTCCTTTCTTCTGCCTCCCACTTCAGTGTAGCGATGTCATGTGTTTGTAATCCAGTTAGATACATTTGTCACAATCTGCATTCCACTTTAGATTCTTCCAAAATTCTGGTTAAGTTTTTAAGAAATTTATATATAGTAAAATTTACTCTTTGTGGTGTATAGCTTTGCAGGTTTGACAAATGTATGGCATCATGTTTCTACCAGCACAGTACCATACAGAGCAGTTCTGTCACCCCTAAAATTCACTTATGCTGCCTGTTTATACTTGTATAGTTTAACACAGTTCCCTACCTTCGACCCCTGGCATTTGTCTTTTTGATATTGGTAAATATTGGAAAAGGAGGAAACTCTTGTGAGTAGCTTTGTTTTACAATTTAAAAAATTACCCAATGTGATTATTGACCTAATATTACTGTGGTCCTGGAATGTTAAGCAATTGTTGATTATTCTTTTTTTTTTCCTGGAGTGTTGGTTATTCTTTGATGGAGTTTGTTTTTGTCTATTATTTTCAGAGTAAAGCTGTTGCTAAAGGTGGATCTTCTAAATACCAGTGGAGCATTATGAAATCCCTTGGTCTGTCTGAGGAAGAGATAGTAAAATTTTCTGAAGCAGAACATTGGCTTGATTATTTCCCACCACTGGCTATTCAAGATCTAAAGAGAATGGGTTTGAAGGTATGTTATTATTTTTGAGTTGAGATCTCACTCTTTACCAGGTTGGAGGCAGTGACCCGATCACAGTTCTCTGCAACCTCAACCTCCTGTGCTCAGGTGACCCTTCTACCTCAGCCTCAAAAGTAGCTAGCGCTACAGGTGCACGCCACCATGCCTGGCTAATTTTTTTATTCTTGTAGAGATGAGATCTTGTTAATTGGCCTAGGCTGATCTTGAACTCTTGGACTCAAGTAATCCTCCAACTTTATCCTCCCAAGGGGCTGAGAATACAGGTGTGATCCATTGCTCCTAGCCTAAACCTAACTTTTATATGCCCTGGGAAACCAAATAATTCATGTGACTCACTTTATTGAGGCAGTTTGGAACCAACCCTGTAATATCTCCAAGGTAACTGCGTGTTTATTTGCATGATTATGTGAGATTTATTTCACTTGCATGCTGGTAAAGACTTGGTACTATTTTTGTTAGATTAGAACCCAGTGCACCTCAATATAAGGAATGAATCCTTTAATATTTATTGTATTGTAATGTATATTGATATATTAACAGTTGATAGAAATGAGTTTTATTTAAAGAATATGAAGAAGCCAAAGCTTAATTTGAATATTTAGGGATACATAAAGGTAGTATTTAAGTTTGTTTTCTTAATTTATTATTATTTCTATATTTTTTGTTAATATATTAACATATATTCAAGTGTATGTTTAAAAACACATTAATTATACATTTAGTAAGCAGGCCCAGGCTGAGTGCAGTGGCATGCTCACGGTCACTGCAGTCTTTGACCTGCCGGGCTCAGGTGATCCTTCCTCCTCAGCCTTCTAGGAGCTGGAACCACAGGCATGTGCCAGTGTACCTGGCTAATTTTTTGACTTTATTGCAGAGATGAGATCTTGCCAAGTTGTCCAGGCTGGTCTCGAGCCCCTAGGCTCAGGCAATCTTCTAGCCTCTGCCTCCCAGACTGCTAGGATTATAGGTGGGAGCCATGTGCCTGTCTAGTTGATATAATTTTAAGTTGGAAAATAGAGTAAAAGAATAAATAATTGATTCATAAGAATTAATATTCATAAAAACTTTGTATATTTTTCAAAAATTATCTTTTCTGTTTCCTTCTATAGGTAGATTGGCGTCGCTCCTTCATTACCACTGATGTTAATCCTTACTATGATTCATTTGTCAGATGGCAATTTTTAACATTAAGAGAGAGAAGCAAAATTAAATTTGGGAAGCGGTAAGTTTGTGTTTCTTCAATATAATAAAGCAAAAATTATATAATTTCTGTATTATAATCCAGTACCCCATAGTCTAATTTTTTTTCATTGTCTTTCCTTTTTTTAATAATTTTTTTCTTTTTATTGTCTTTTGTCCTTTGTTTTCCTTTTTTTCTTGCCAGTGTTTTAATTTCTTTGAGCTATTTAGTGTTTGTGACCAGTAGAAACAGGAAGTATGGGAAATGTTGGCTGTTATGATCTCACTAAAGTTTTTTCTTTTCCAGCAGAAAAATAATTATTTTATGTTTTATTTTATACTTTTGTTCTGTAAGTTATATTTTATTTTATACTTTTGTTCTATAAGTTGTTTAAAATTTTTCTTTGATTATGCAGACTAAATAAGTTATTTGCATTTCACAAATGAATTTATACTTTATAATCTTTTGCTTTATACTACAAAGCTAATATTAGTGTGTTTTTAAAAATATATATTTATTTATTTACTTGATTCACTTATTTATTTGAGACAAGGTCTCATTATGTTGCCCAGCTGGTGTCAGACTCCTGGGCTCAAGCACTTTTTCAATAATATTACTTTTGATGAAGGTAGAAAGCTTTCATTAAATAACTAGGTTGACAGTGGAACTGACCCAAGGGTGTAAATGTAAACATTTACTCAGAAGTGTTAGTTACAAGACTTACTTTTAAGTTGTTAGGAGCAACATTATTAAGTAGGATAAAGCTTGAATGTTATAATCCTGCTTGTTACTTACTGTTTATTTTTTAGGTATACCATTTATTCTCCAAAAGATAGACAGCCTTGCATGGATCATGACAGACAAACTGGAGAGGTGATTATTTGTGAGATGGAGTAGCTATTATAATAATCATTAATGTGATCATAGAGTTTATGAAATAGATTAGACAACTAAAAATAACTTTATTGCAGTGCTGAAGTGTATAGCCATGATACTATGGTGGGTATATAAAGGGAGGCAGAATATCAATACATGTACCTGTGTCTTGTCTAGGACCTTGCTACTCTAAGAGTGGTCCCAGGAGAGCTGCATCCACTTGTATGAAGCACACTGTTGTGCCTCAGCCCATAATTGCTCAGTCAGAAGTTCTGGGGGTAGGCCCCAGCATACGAAGCACCATCTGGAAAATGCGCAGTTTTAAAAAGAGAATGTGGGGAGAGATAATGAAATATGTGACTTTTTTTTTCTCTTTTTGAGTCAGAGTTTCACTCTGTCGCCCAGGCTGGAGTGCAGTGGCATGCTCATGACCACTGCAGCCTTGTCCTCTGGGCTCGGGCAAGCCTTTCGCTTCAGCCTTCCAAGTAGTTGGAACTACAGGAATGTGTCACCATGCCCGGCTGGTCTCGAACCATGGGCTCAGGGAATCCTCTCGCCTCTGCCTCCCAAAGTGATGGGATTACAGGCGTGAGCCGTGGCTAACTTTTGATGTACACAGATTCCATTTACGCTTGGTTTGATCATGTACCTACTTGCTTATTTCCAAGTACCTTTAGCCATGCGTAACATCATTCAGTCTATGTTCCTGTGGAATATATTAGCAACATTATTTCCTGAAAAACTTGAGCAAAGCAAGGGTGATTTGCCTAAAACTTTGGCACAGTAGATCAGTGACGGGGCCAGCGTCTGAACTTATGGGTCCCTAGGAGTGCATCATTTTTTATCACCATCCTTGAACATATTTTCTTTTTTTTTTTTTTTTGAGTTGGAGTCTCTCTGTTGCCCAGGCTGGAGTGCAGTGGCACCTGCTGGGCTCAGGTGATCATTCCACCTCAATCTTCCAAGTAGGTAGAACTACAGGTGTGCACTATCACACTAGCTTATTTTTTGATCTCTTGTGGGTACCAGGTCTCACCAAGTTATTCAGGCTGGTCTCAAACCCCTGAGCTCAGGCGGTTCTCTCACCTTGGCTTCCCAAAGTGCTGGGATTACAGGCTTGAGTCACCATGTCCGGCCTTGAACATATTTTCAAAATCAGCCTTCAATTCTGATGTAACTTGTCTGAGAAGTGAGAGTTTATGAAAATTTTAAATGACTTGAGAGACTTCAGCAGACTCAGTAGAGTTTTAACATAGCCAATTGTAGCAATATCCTAAATATCAATAATACTTCATAGATTTTCAAAGCATTTTCTATCTGTTATCTTAAACGTGTTCCTCATTGCAGTCCCATGTGAGGCACATCATACTTATTTAGAGATGAGGAAAGAAGGGTCCAGAGAGACTGTTGCTACCTTGGGTTAAGCCATTAGGAGGACCAAGCTAAGTTTAGAATGTACATCATGTGATCACTGGCCCAGTGTCTGTTTTTGGTGACTACTGTGTAGGACCTGCCTTGGGGGTGAGGGGATGGGATTCATGTAGATTGTGTCTTCTAACCCCATTTTGGCCAAAAGCCTTTTGGCTGATTACTACTAGTCTCTCCTTACATATTGGACTTCTGTGTGGATGTGGTCAACAAGCTACTGGCAGTCTCTTCACTGGAAGAAGGGATTATTCTAACAATGAAAGAACCCATTTAAAAAATTTGAATCAGATTTCTCACGTAGATTAGTAGGTTTAATCCAAGTCTTGTTTCTCAAATTTTTTTTTTATTTGTTTAGGGTGTTGGACCTCAGGAATATTCTTTAATCAAATTAAAAGTACTTGAGCCATTCCCTTCCAAATTAAGGTAGGTTTGCCAGAGGGTTATTGCTTCATTGTTTCTGAACTTTCAAATAGTTGTGATAGCGTCTATAGCATTTTTTAACATAAATGTATATTTTTTTCTTCTTAGTGGCCTGAAAGGTAAAAATATTTTCTTGGTAGCTGCTACTCTCAGACCTGAGACCATGTTTGGACAGACAAACTGTTGGGTTCGTCCTGATATGAAGTACATTGGATTTGAGACAGTGAATGGTGACATATTCATCTGTACCCAAAGAGCAGCCAGGAATATGTCATACCAGGGCTTTACCAAAGACAATGGTGTGGTGCCTGTTGTTAAGGAATTAATGGGGGAGGTAAGTTGGGGAGCCAACTTTTTATTTTAGTGCATCAATTTAGAGGAAAATTTCAACTGTGAATCTTGAGAAAAGAGCATATGAGAAGATTTTAAACATGTGGTATATATAAAGTGTATCACTGGTAAGTGTATATTTTGGTGCATTTTCATATGTGTATTCATTCATACAGACACACCAAAATCTAGATATAGCATGGTTTCAGTGCTCCAGAGGCTCTCACATTCATTTCATAATGAGTACTCATCTCTCTCCTTACCAGGTATTCGTTGTTCTTGAACTTTATGTAATAGAATTATAAAGTATATACTGTTTTGTGTCTAGCTTCTTTTGCTCAACATTATATTTGTGAGATTTATGTCTGTTGTAGTAGTAGATCTGTTCTTTTTTTGTTGTTTGTTTTTGCCGTGTAGTATTCATTGTATAGCATTTTTGAATTCAGTAAGTCTCTGGTTTCAATTCAGTAAGTCTCTGGTTGAAAAAATACAGATAGTCCTCCCCAAGAGATTTAATAGCTACATTAGATGTAATATTACTTTTTGAATGCTATTACCTGCATTCCTGATAATACTAAATTTAGAATTTGCAGCTGTTTTTTTTTTCCTGAAAAGAAGGCTTAGTTGATGTTAATTAAATAAGGACAGTTACATAGCTCATCTACTTAATTATCAGTATTTCTGAGTGTGTTTTATCCTATTTAGTGAATGCTAATCTTTAGTATCTTAGTAAATAAATTTTAAAAGAAAAATGTGAGTAGAGTACCATCCCAGTTCTTCATTTATTTATTTAGATTAGAAAATATAATTTATTTAAAAATTAAAATTAAATTAAAGAGGGCATTCACCTCCCCAAGGTAGGAGAGGGGGCCAAGCCCAGGAAACATGGCAACTGTGACTCAAGCCATGGTCAGACCATGGCTTAGCAAAGCAATGATGAATGGAGAGAGAGATACTGATAGAGATTGATACATTCATCTCCCCAAGGTAGAGGAGGGGGACAAAGCTTAGAAAACATGGCAGCCACAGCTCAAAGAGCACATGGCCAGACCATAGCTCAGCAGAACAATGTCCCCCAGTTCTTTTAAATTGAACTCTTTTATTGTTTATCTTGTAAACTTATTTTTTGATTAGATTGTAATATATTCATAAGGCCTACAATTCAAAAGACACACAAATATGCCCCTGGTCACTCATTGTCTCCTTCCAGAGGTAGTTATCGCTGTGTCTCATGTATCCTTCTAGAAGTATTTCTTGTGTATACTAGCAAAAGTATACATATTTTTTCTCCCTTTGTTTTTACATAAGTGGCAAATTTATTTTCTACACATCTTGCTTTCTTTTTTAGTTAATTATATCTTTGCCGTCCTTTTTTTCAGTACATAAACAGCTTCCTTCTTATTTTTTTATTTTTTGAGTTGGAGTATCACTCTTGTTGCCCAGGCTGGAGTGCAGTGGTATGCTCACGGCCACCGCAGCCTCGACCTGCTGGGCTTAGGTGATCCTTCCACCTCAACCTTCCAAGTAGCTGGAATTGCAGACACACGTCACCATGCCTGGATATTTTTTGTGATTTTATTGTAGAGATGAGGTCTCACCGATTTGCTCAGTGGGCTCAGGCAATCCTCTTGCCTCGACGTCCCAAAGTGCTGAGATTACAGGCTGAGCCATCATGCCCGGCCCTTCTTATTTTAATTGCTACATAGTATTCTATGTGTGGCTGTCCCACAACTTATTTAATAATTCTCTATTAATGGATATTTGAATTGTTTCCTAACTTGTAAGGTGCACTACTGCATCTCATTAGTTCCTGATGTTGGAGTTTTATCTGAGAAGTTGTTGAGAATAGTATCAGTGGCACATGTTTTTTTCCTGTTCTTTTTTGAGAACACTTTAAAAAAAAAATTCATTAGCTTTAGGGGTTATAAATAATTTTTGGTATGGGCTTTGAGCATACCCACCACTCCTACCTGTGCACATTGTACCCAGTAGGTGATGTTTTGGTCCCTCCATCCCTTCTCTCCCCACTTTTGAGTCTCCAATGCCCATTATATCATGCTTTATAAAGCTTTTGCAGATCCTAGTTTAGCTCTCACTTATAGGTGAGAACATCAATGTTTGGTTTTCTATTTCTGAGTTAGTTTACCTAGGATGATCATCTCCATTTCCATCCAGGTTGCTGCAAAAGGCATTTCATTTTTTTTTTGATAGCTGAATAGTATTCCATAGTGTATATATCCCACATTTTCATTATTCACTGATCAATTGATGGACATTTTAGATTGATTCTACATCTTTGCAATTGTTAATTGTGCTGTGATGAACACGTAAGTGCAGGTGTCTTTGTTTTTTTTGTGTGTGTTGGAGTCTCACTCTGTCACCCAGACTGGAGTGCAGTGGCATGCTTCCAGCCACCGCAGCCTCGACCTGCGATCCTTCTGCCTCAGCCTTCCAAGTAGCCGGAACTACAGATGCACGCTACCATGCCCATCAAATTTTTGATTTATTGTAGAGATGACATCTTGTCAAGTTGCCTGGGTGGGTCTCGAACCCGTGAGCTCAGGCAATCCACTTGCCTTGGCCTCCCAAAGTTCTGGGATTACAGGCTGAGCCGCTGAGCCACTGAGCCCGGCCGTCTTTGTTATATAATGACCTCTGTTCCTTTGCATAGATACCTAGTAGTAGGTTTGTTGGATCAAATGGTAAATTTACTTTCGTTTTTTGAGAAATCTCCATACCGCTTTCTATAGAGGTTGTACTAATTTACACTTCTATCAATAGTATATAAGTGTTCCCTTATCTCTGCATCTATGCCAGCATTTATTGTTTTTTGATTTTTTTTTAATAATGGCCATTCTGACTGGTGTAAGGTGGTCTCACTGTGGTTTCAGTTTGCATTTTTCTGGTGATTAGTGGTGAACATTTTTTCATATGTTTCTTGGCCACTTGTATATCTTCTTTTGAGAAATGTCTGTTCATATCATTTGTCCACTTGGTAATGGGGTTATTTACTTTTTTTAGGATGATTTATTTGAGTTCTTTGTAGATTCTGAATATTAGTCTTTTGCCGGATAGTTTGCAAATATCTTTTCTCATTCTGTAAGTTGTTTATTTGGTTATTTATTTTTTGCTGTGCAGAAGCATTTAGTTTAATTAAGTCCCACTTATTTATTTTTGTTGCATTTGCTTTTGGGGTTTGGGTCATAAATTCTTTGCCTAGGCCGATGTCCAGAAGAGTTTTTCCTAGGTTTTCTTCTAGGATTTTTATGGTTTCAGGTCTGACATTTAAGTCTTTAATCCATCTGGAATTAATTTTTGTATATGGGGAAAGAGAGGGGTCAAGTTTTATTTTTCTGCATGTAGCTATCCAGTTTTCCCAGCACCATTTGTTAAATAGGATGTCTTCTCTCCAGTGTATGCTTTTGTCTATTTTGTCTAAAATCAGTTGGTTATAAGTCTTTGGGTTTATTTCTAGATTCTCTATTCTGTTCCATTGGTCCATGTGCCTGCTCTTGTACCAGTATCATGCTGTTTTGGTTATTACAGGCTTGTAGTATAATTTGAAGTCAGGTAATGTGACGCTCCAGCTCTTTTTTTGTTTTTGTTTTTGCTTTGTATTGCTTTGGCTATTCTGGATCTTTTTTTGTGGAAGAAAGAAAAATTCATATTAATTTTAGGATTTTAAAAAGATTCTGTGAAAAATGATGTTGGTAGTTTGATAGGAATTGCATTGAATCTGTAGAATACTTTGGGTAATATGGTCATTTTAACAATGCTGATTCAGTCTATGAGTATGGGATGTTTCTCCATTTTTTGTGTCCCCTACAGTTTCTTTCATCAGAGTTTTGTAGTTCTTGTAGACATCTTTCATCTCCTTGGTTAAATATATTTTTAGGTATTTTCGCTTTTTGGCTGCTATTGTAAATGGAATTGAGTTCTTGGTTTGATTCTCAGCTTGGTCACTATTAGTATATGTTGCTACTGATTTTTGTGTGTTGGTTAAGTATCCTGAAACTTTACCTACTTCATTTATCAAGTCCAGTTGTCTTTTGGAGGAGTTTTTAGGATCATATTGTTGGTATACAAAGATAGTTTGATTTCTTCTTTTCCAATTTGGGTACCCTTTATTTTTCTTGCCTGAATGCTGTAGCTAGGACTTCCAGTACTATGCTGAATAGAAGTGGTGAAAGTGGGCATCCTTGCCTTGTGCTACTTTTCTTTGTTCAAATGTGACATTAGCTGTGGGTTTGTTATATATGGCTTTTATTATTTTAAGAAATGTTCCCTCTGTGCCTATTTTGCTGAGGGTTTTTATCATGAAGGGACACTGGATATTATCAAATGGTTTTTCTGTCTCTATTGAAATTATATGATTTTTGTTTTTAATTCTGTTTATGTAGTGGATCATGTTTATTGATTTGTGTCTGTTGAACCACTCTTGCATACCTGGAATAAAACCCACTTGGCTGTGATGCATTTTTTTTTAATGTGCTGCTTAATTTGGTTTGTAAATCTTTTGTTGAGGATTTTGCATCTGTGTTCACAAAGGATGTTGATCTGTAGTTTTCTTTTTTTGTTGTGTCTTTTCCTGGCTTTGGTTTCAGAATCAGAATGATTCTAGCCTTGTAGAATGAGTTAGGGAGGTTTCTCTCCTCTTCAATTTTGTGGAATAGCTTCAATAAAATTGGTACCAGTTCTTTGAAGAGCTGGCAGAAGAATTCAGCTGTGAGTCCATCAGGTCCTGAATTTTTTTGTTGTTGTTGGGAGACTTCTAATTATTGTTTCAATCTTGCTGCTTGTTACTGATCTGTTCAGAGTTTCTGAACAGCATCCTGATTCAAAGTTGGGGGTAGTATCTTTCCAAGAATTTATCCATTTCCTCTAGATTGTCTAGTTTGTTTGCATAAAGGTTTTCATAATAGTCTCAGATGATCTGTTGAATTTCTGTCATGTCAGTTGTAACATCTCCATTTTCATTTCTGATTGAGCTAATTTGAATTTTCTCTTTTCTTAATTACTCTACCTATTGGTCTATCAACTTTTTTTTATCTTTTCAAAGAACTACCTTTTTGCTTTATTGATCTGGTTTTTTTTTTTTGAGTCGGAGTCTCACTTTGTTGCCCAGGCTGGAGTGCAGTGGCATACTCATGGCCACGGCAGCTTCGACCTACTGGGCTCAGGTGATCCTTCCTCCTCAGCCTTCCAAGTAGCTGGAACCACAGGTATGCACCACCACACCAGGTTAATTTTTAAAGTTTATTGTAGAGACGAAGTCTCACTAAGTTGCCCAGATTAATAATGATATATAGGGTACTAGTCTATTCATCATACTGGTTGTTATATGGTTGCTTTATATATTTATTTTCTCTATTGTGTTGGTGTTCTATAAGTTCTATGAGCTTATGATTTGCAGCATTTTTTTACTGGTGTATTTTGACCTTTTGTTTTAGTATTTAGGACCCTTTTGAGTATTTCTTATAGAGGTGGTTTAGTGGTGACAAGTTCCCTCAGCGTTTGCTTGTCTTAGAAAAACTTCACTTCTCCTTCATTTATTAAGCTTAGTTTTACAGGACACAAAATCCTTGGCTGACTGTGATTCTATATGAGGAGATTGAAGATGGGGCCCCAACCCCTTTTGATTTGTAGGGTTTCTTCTGAGAAATCTGCTGTTAGTCTGATAGCTTTACCTTTGTAATTTATTTGATGCTTTTGTCTTACTGCTCTTAAAATTCTTTCCTTCACATTAACTTTGCATAACCTGATGATTACATGCCTTGGGGATGATCTTTTTGTAATGAACCTTCTGGGAATTCTTTGGGCTTCTGGATGTTTAGGTCTCTGGCAAGGCCAGAGAAGTTTTCTTCCATTATCCCCTCAGATAGGTTTTTTTCTTTCTGTTGCTTTTTCTTCTTCCTTGGGAATACCTATGATTCTTAGGTTTGTATGTTTTATATAATCTGACATTTCTTGGTGATTTTGTTCTGTTCTCTTGATTCTTTATTGTTGTCTGATTGGGTTAATTCAAAAGCCTTGTCTTCAAGTCCTGAGATCCTTTTATCCTTCTGCTTGTTCTAGTCTACTGTTAAAACTTTCCACTGCATTTTGTACTTTTCTGAATGAGTCTTTCATTTCCAGAATTTCAGCTTTTCTTTTTCTTTAAGGTATCTTTGTCTTCAGAGAATTTCTCATTCATACCCTGAATAGTTTTTTTTTTTTTTTGAGTTGGAGTCTCACTCTGTCACCCAGGCTAGAGTGCAATGACATGCTCATGGCCACTGCAGCCTTGACTTGCTGGGCTCCAGAGATCTTTCTGCCTCAGCCTTTCAAGTAGCTGGAACTACAGGTGAGCACTACCACATCTGGTTAATTTTTTGATTTATTGTAGAGACACGGTCTCGCCAAATTGCCCAAGCAGTCCTCTCGCCCTGGCCTCCCAAAATGCTGGGATTACCGGTGTGAGCCACCGTGGCTGACCTCTGAATAGTTTTTAGAATTTCTTTGTTGCTTTTCAATTTTTTCCTGAAGTTCATTGATCAATTTTTTAATCAGCCTTTTGAATTCCAAGTCTGGAATTTCAAAACTTTCATTTTGGTTAGGGTTTGTTGCTGAAGAGTTTTGGGGGTGTTGGAGAACTCTGTTTTCTCATATTGACAGAATTATTTTTCTGGTTCCTTCTCATTTAGGTAGACTGTTTTTTATTTGATGTTGGCAGGGGACTAATGTAGGCACTGTAGGGTTCCCTTGGTTATATATATCCTTGGTGTGGTGAGTTTCTCAATTGCCAGTGTGGCAGTCCTGTGCTCAGTACCTGCACTGGCTCATGGTGTCCTGAGTGATTGGAGTGACTTGGAATGTGGTGTTAGTCTGGGACCAGGCCTTCCCCCAAACTGAGGTATATCTGATGTGGTGGGCTGCACTATTGACTTAGGTGAAGGCTCCGGGGATCACCCAAGTTCTCTGTCTCTTTTAAGCCCTTGAGGGGATTGTGGGTGGGGCTGGGGAGGGAGCTCAAGCACTCTACAAGAGTATACCCAGTGGGGATTAGGGAGTTCCAGGCCCCTGGAGTAATACTGTTGTTCAGGGCAGGTACAGAAGAGTTTACTTGGGGAGTGAGGGGTTACCATGGCAATGAGTCCCACCTGGCTTCCTGCCCTATACTTAGGTAGCCTGCCTTCTGAACGTCAAAGTGCAGCCGGCCTTGGGCCTCGGGTGTTCTCATGGCAACTGTCTGCAGCCAGGTAGTTGCCCATGGGGCCTATCCTCTTCCAGGGTTGAGTTCCTGGGAAATGGTGACTGGCACTGCTTAAGGCTTTTTTTCCTGCACCACTCCACATGGGCTTTGGCAGAGCATGGCTGTGGGTAAGGCAGTTTCCTGTGAAGGACTGGAATCCCACAGGCCTCAACAGGCACTCTAAGTCTGTGGCAGGAGCAGAGAACTCCAGAATTCCCGTTGCTCACCTTCCCTGCTGTATTCTGAGGCCCTCAGTGGACTGTGTTGGTGAAGGTCTGGTCAATTCCAGTTCAGGTCGATGGATTTTTCTCACCTTTGCACTATGTGGTTATCATCACTGCTTTGAAGAGTTGTGGGGTGTGTTGCTGGTCTTGTTCCTCTCTGGGTGCTGAGGAAACTATCTTGATTTACTCCATAGGAGAAACACAATCTAGCTGCCTCAAGTTAACTATGTTCTTTTCCTGTTCTTAATGCAACTTCTCTCCTTGTCAATTTGAGCAAATTCTGGATTGAGGAAAATGGATATTATAAACTGTAAAATAGCCTTCAACCTTTAAAACTGCTGCAGTATTTGTCACTCAAGTGACTGCAAATTCTGTAACGGCAGCTTATGTATATAAGAATAATGTGGAATGGACAGTGTGTTCCTTAGCTGGAACATTCTAGCAGCTGCAAGCTGTGCTGTCATATGAGAGTGTGGGTCCGATGTTACTTCATCTTCCAGGTTTTTTTTCAAGTGAACTAGAACTATCCTTTTACTTCAGTTTGTCTTCACAATTATTATTTTAAATGAATATGTGTAGTATTCCATATTGTGCTTGTAGCATATTTTATCAGATTATTTTTCTGTAATTGAAGGCTTTAGTTGTTTCTAGGTTTTGCTAGTATAATTAACTCAGTGTTAGACAGATTTTTCTAAGAATATATATATATATATATTTTTTTTTTGCTGGGTCCAAGCTATGTGAACATTTTTGTGGCTCTTGCTATGGATTTCTATATTGTTTTCCTCAGGAGGAGTACAATGTCACACACAGTGTACTAGTGTACTGGTTTTATCTAACATTGCCAGATTTGGTATTAAAATTATTTAAAATTATTTTTTATCTAATAGGTATAAAATAATGAGTTTTTTAACTTCATATATATTTATATTTTTTAATTGACAAATGAAAATAATATATATTTGTGGTGTACAACATGATAATGTGTATGCATTTGAAATATGTATACATTGTTAAATGGCTAAATTGAGGTAATTAACAAATATGTTACCTCACATACTTATCATTTTCTGTGGTGAGAACAATCAGAATCTAAGCCAAATGCAGCAGTGTGTTCCTGTAGTCCTAGCTATTTGGGAGACTTAGACAGGAGGATTGGACAGGAGGATTACTTGAACTCAGGAGTTAGAAGATGTAGTAAGCTATGATTGTTCCTGTGAATAGTCACTGTACTCCATCCTGAGTAATATAGTGAGACCCTGTTTCTTAAAAGGAAAAGAATCTACCTTCTTTCAAAAACTGTATAATTTTCAAGTATACAATACATTCTTATTACCTATACCTATAGTCAACATGTGGTACAGTAGATCTCTTGAACTTCACATATTTTTTTATTGCTAGTGTCTCAGGACTTAAAATATTAACATTGTTTTAAATCTTAATGGTAACAAAAATTTTCTTTGCCTCTTTTTATTATGCAGGAAATTCTTGGTGCATCACTTTCTGCACCTTTAACTTCATATAGGGTGATCTATGTTCTCCCAATGCTAACTATTAAGGAGGATAAAGGTAAAAAATTTATTTATAGAAATATTTTGGTAATCACATTTTGGTTCTATTAGTTAATTCACACTTTCTTTTATAAGGCACTGGTGTGGTCACAAGCGTTCCTTCTGACTCCCCTGATGACATTGCTGCCCTCAGAGACTTGAAGAAAAAACAAGTAATATCTGAGTTTCTTGTTCTTATTTCATCTTTACTGTCTCATTGTTTAGGTACTGCTAAACTACACTATAGGACTTGGCTAAGAGCTATGCATTTATCTTTGAACTGCAATTTCTAAGCTGTTTCTTGACTATATATTTTCTGTGGTTTGAATTTTGAATATAATGTTTCACAGAATTTTGAAAAAATTTGATGATACATTTTCATTGAAATCTAGAATATGTGCCTCAGTTTAAGTGATGTGTATGTGTCTGTGCATTTTTGCTTTTGGCTCTACAGTTTCATCATCTAGGCTGTTCACTGGAACTTAAGCTATTACTTTTGTTTTATTTTGTTTTGGGCTTGGTTCGCTTTACTTTTTTGTATGAAAACCCTATGTTAAGCTATTACTTTTTTAAAGGTCACAGATCTTTTCTTAAAGTATTTGGTTAAGTTAGGAAATTACTCTGAATGGAGAGGACAAATAATCGTTTTAAGAAAGTTTGGAGGTTGCTTTTCTCAGTGATTATACCAGTAAAATGTTGATCATTAGTGTTAACTTGCACATTTTTTGTAGGCCTTACGAGCAAAGTATGGAATTAGAGATGATATGGTCCTGCCATTTGAGCCGGTGAGTACATAGATAATTCATAATAGTCATATCCTTCTCTGTTAGAGAAAAAAAAGAGCTCACGTTTTCCTTGTAATGCAATTAAATACTTGGTAGAGTACGAAAATAAAAGAAGGACTTTGCTTAAGGATTTACTTACTTTTTTTTTTGAGTTGGAGTCTCACTCTGTCACCCAGACTGGAGTGCAGTGGCCGCTCCCGGCCACTGAGCCTCGACCTGCTGGGCTCCGGCGATCCTTCCGCCTCAGCCTTCCAAGTAGCCAGAATTACAGGCATGCTCTACCACACCCAGCTGAGTTTTTGATTTATTGTAGAGATGAGGTTTTGCTGCCCAGGCGGGTCTCTAACCCACGGGCTCAGGCAATCCACTCACCTCAGCTTCCCAAAGGTGTGGGATTACAGGCTGAGCCACCGAGCCCGGCTGGATTTACTTACTTTAACTTGGTATCTGCTGTGGCAGATAAAAGTGAGAGAAAAATTATCAAACATTTTCTTACCACCTGGCACTTATAGTTCTGGAACAAACAGCTTTTTAGCATCACCAATTTTGTAGTAGCTTGTTTTGCTTGTGTGATCAATTTCTTGGCTTTTAAAAACATTACGTATGCTTGGATGTTTATTTGTAACCATAGTAACTTTAACACGATCCCATACAACTCTGTTTTATGTTTCTTGCATTTTCATATTATTGCCTGCAGAATAAAAATATTTAAATTACTAGCAAATAACTTTTGTGAAGAATCCGGAAACCTTAATATAAACCAAGAGCAGGGTCATTCACAAAAGTAGTTGTTGACATCGTTTTGCTAGTTTCCACCTTAATTGTTAGTTAATTATATGCCAGTGGAGGACTGAGTGCTGGGGAATGGAGTGGTGGGGGTTGGTGCACAGAGTTTAGGGGGGTCCTGTGGAAAGGAGGAGGACAGATTGTCATCTGGATGCAAGTTGCTCTGTGATCACTTAATGTGTGGCACTGTCATGATGGCATATGAAATTGGAAATGACTTTTTAAAAAATTTTAAATATGTGGGGTACAATTCAGGGTTAGGTGTACAAAAGTTCACTATGCAGGTACCCTTGTTGATGAGGAGTGTCCTTCCTCTCCCCTGGCAGTTTCCCACTACTGCCAATTCCTTTCTTTTTTTTTTTTTTTTTTTTTTTTGAGTTGGAGTCTTACTCCATCGCCCAGACTGGAGTGTGGTGGCTGCTCCTGGCCACTGCAACCTCGACCTGCTGGGCTCTGGCTATCCTTCTGCCTCAGCCTTCCAAGTAGCTGGAACTACAGGTGTGTGCTACCACACCTGGCTAATTTTTGATTTAGTGTAGAGATGAGGTCTCGCCAAGTTGACCGGGCAGGTCTCGAACCCAGGGGCTCAGGCAATCCACTCACCTCAGCCTCCCAAAGCGCGGGATTACAGGCTGAGCCACCGAGCCTGCCTGCCAATCCCTTTCTTACAGTATTATGATAATTGTTTAAGGTCCTCTTATGAGTGAGAACATGTACTATATGAACCTTAGCAAATGCAGGAGACACCCTTATGGAAATTGGAATTGGCAACCAATTCCTAATCAAAACCTCAAGTGCGCATGCTATAGGAGATAAGATAGAAAAGTGGAACTTCATCAAACTGACAAGCTTCTGCAAAGCCAAAGAAACCAATAAGAGATCGGGAAGATAGCCCACAGAATGAGAAAAAATTTATGCCAACTGTATATCTGGAAATGACTTTATAGGACATTAGAGGCAAAAGGACCATGTGCCATAGGTCCCATTTGGTATAAACAAATTCCTGGCATTGCTGTTCTCTGCAGGTGCCAGTCATTGAAATCCCAGGTTTTGGAACTCTCTCTGCTGTAACCATTTGTGATGAGTTGAAAATTCAGAGTCAGAATGACCGAGAAAAACTTGCAGAAGCAAAGGAGAAGTTATATCTGAAAGGATTTTATGATGGTGTAAGTTATAATTTGTTTTTATTTGATTTACTCCATATACTGTGATTCCTTCTTAATGATTTAGAAAAAATATAGAAAGATTCCACATAGTTTTAGCTGTACATTGATTTGAGAGATTAATATTAGAATATGTTCTCCTATTTCCAAATTTATTTTTTTTATAATGTCCTTCATCTAAAAGCAGTTTAAAAAATGACATTTTTTTATGTCCTCTAGAAATTTCTAAGGAATGAATTTCTTGAGAAGATAATTAAAATTAGTTCCTACTATTCAATAAATGAGTGGAGAATATATGGTCCATTTTGCTCTTTTAGTTAAGGAATAATATTTTAGAATAGCAATTTTATTCAGTTGATTAATATTTGTTAATGACTACTAATTGCCAAGTGAACACAACAAACATAATTTAAACCTTTCTTTTCTCCTCAGTTGTGTGTATTGTATTTTATTTTTATTTTTTTTGAATTGAAATCTCATTCTGTTGCCCAGACTGAAGTGCATTGGTATGCTCCCAGCCCACCGCAGCCTTGACCTGCTGGGCTCCGGCAATCCTTCTGCCTCAGCCTTCCAAGTAGCTGGAACTACAGGTGTGCGCCACCATGCCCGGCTAATTTTGGATTTTTTGTAGAGACGACAAGATCTCACCAAGTTGCCCAGGTGGGTCTCAAACCCGCGGGCTCAGGCAATCCACTCGTCTCAGCCTCCCAAAGTGCTGGGATTACAGCCTGAGCCACTGAGCCCGGCCAGTTGTTTGTATTTTAATGTGGCTTACATTTCTATGGAAAGAGGCCTTGGCTAGAGAAGGTAAAAATCTAAACAAATTGTTAGGTACTTGAGGTTAAATGAAGAGATTTAGGGACACCAACGAGAATGTTTCTTATTTTTATTTCTCCCTCATTTTTCTGCTTAATTACTAATTGGTTATATGACTTTTTTTAAGTGACATATTTTGAATGACTATAAAAGCCAACACATATATTAATTTATTTCTCAAAATAACCCCATTTTGAAGTAGGCACTGTTATCAACATTTACAGATGAGAAATTAGAGGCACAAAGATATTAAGTGATTTACCTGAGATTAGCTAGATAGCTGGCCAGTGGCAAAACTGGGATTCAAACTAGGCAGCCTAGCTCTGGGATTTGTGCTCCATTATATAGATAGATAGATATAAAATTTATATCTATGTCTATACACACACACACACACACACACACAAAGGGAACCCAAAGAAATCCAAAATTTATTTATAAAATATTGAAAACTTGTGAGTTCATTCATTTTTTTTTTTTTTGTTTTTGAGTTGGAGTGGAGGGTCTTACTCTGTTGCCCAGGCTGGAGTGCAGTGGGATGCTCACCGCTACCATAACCTGGACCTGGTGGGCTCAGGTGATCCTTCCGCCTCAGCCTTCCAAGTAACTGGAACCACAGGCACACACCACCGTACCTAGCTAATTTTTTTTATTTATTGTAGAGATGAGTTCTCGCCGAGTTGCTCAGTCTGATCTCAAAGCCCTGGGCTCAGGCAGTCCTTTTGCCTCTGCCTCCCACAGTGCTAGGATTACAGGCATAAGCCACTGCACCTGGTGTATATTTATTTTTACATGTTTAAATGTAATCACCTTCAAAGTACTCTTCATTTGCTGTAGTACGCCTATTGAGATGCTTTTCTACTACTCAAAACAGTTTTTGAGCTCGTCAATTTTGATGCCTTTTAGTGCTTCTGCTGTTTTTTGTTTCGCCTCTTCCACATGGGCAAAATGTTTCTCTTTGAGGACTTTTTCATGTGGGGAAACAAAAACAAGTTGCTCGGGTGATATCAGGCAAATAGGGAGGGTGGGGAGGGGAGGTCATGCCATTTTTGGTCAAAAGCTGACGAACACTCAGTGTGCAGTGAGCAGGTGTGCTTGTAAACCACCCATTATAAAATGGGCAAATGTGTTGAAAAAAGTCTCCAAAAAATATTCACTGAAGCCAAACGCAGCCTCTCAAAACAACACTAGCCTGTACACTGATACCGAAGGGGTTCTTAGAACACTTACGTAGTAGGGGAATCCTGTAACCACAAGAGGCCAACCCTTTCCAGTTAAAGGCCTCCCAAATTGCTGGGATTACAAGTGTGAGTCAAAGTGCCTGACCATGATTTGTGTTCTTAACCACTACACCATAATGACCATTAAATTTAACTTCATGATGTACAATTAAATAGATAGGAAAAATTTTGATATGTTAGAGGATTGGACATTCAAAAAAGAATTTCTTTTCCAGCTAAGATAGAAGCTACTTGGGAGAAATATAAGAATCAGATAGATGGAGGTGAAAATATCAGCTTTGTTACCCAAGAAAGCAGGAAGGGGATTGTGGCATAATTGGTGGCAACAATGAATAAGCTAATACTTTGCCCTATAATTAAATTGTCCCAAAGAGTAAAAAGAGTTAAAAACAGAAGGCTTTCCTCTAAGAGCAAGGTTTATCACATGACCATACAAAGAATATTCACCTGCATCAGGGAGGGTTAGAAAGGGAAGCCTAAATGGCCAAGCTCCCCACCCTCCCTGTTTACCTGCTCAGTTCCTCCTACAGTCATCAGGAAGGTGAGTTAGTGTAGTTGAATTATCTTCATGGGGAGACTTGAGAAGTAGAAGTGAGTGTTTCCTTCACATCGTGCTCACACTAGGTATTCCAGTTCTACCAACAGAAAGACAAGTGTGTTATAAATGTTAGTTGTCGAGGCTGAACCAAAACGAAAGGTTATGTTTATACCTGTGGTAAATTTCACACTAAAAATATTTCGGTGGACAGAAGTAAATTTAGTTAGGGAAAATTTGAGGGGAAATTCAAAGTAAATTCTAATTCTTTTGTATGCGTTTTTCTCCCTTCTCATCCTTTTAGGTAATGTTGGTGGATGGATTTAAAGGACAGAAGGTTCAAGATGTAAAGAAGACTATTCAGAAAAAGATGATTGACTCTGTATGTGATAGGCTATCCCCTGAAGACTGTTTTTAGGAGAAAGCTGTTAACAGATAGACTAAGTGTTATTAGCAGTGAGTTCTATAGTAGAACCTGAAGCTATTTTAAGGACATCTTATAATTTTGTGGTGGAAAATAGACTTATTTAGCAATTCATTTAACTCGACCATCCCACCTATAGTGTTGATAAGGATAGTGTCCTAAGATCCATGTGTGTACTGCATGTTCAGAGAACTTTAATGATACTTTCTGGCAGTGGCCACTTTAGATACTGGTAGTTGCAACCTTTTGTCTCTGTGGTGTTTTTTTTATTGTCATTCTCTCCTCTCCATTTTTTGTCGTGACTCTTCCATTTAGCTACATAACTCTACATTTATATCTTTGACAGTTATAAATACATATATGCATAATACAGAGTGAAACAAGGCTAATCGAGATAGTACTATTAGGATTATTGAAATAAGAAAGCTGCAGTTTCTTCATCCTTCCACATTCTTTTAAATTTCTCTTTTTTAAAGGGGGCAACTTTTAACTGTTGTAGGTATTTTAGTGTTTGCCTTCATCCCTTATATAAGCTCTAAATGAAATGGTTATAGTGTAATTTAACTTTGGTGTTTGTTTTCAGGGTTAGGCATCAGCTACTGACTTCCTACTGTGGAAGATCAAGATTAAATTCTTCCCCCGCCCCACCTGTGTCTTCTCTGACGTCACATATTGTAATTATAACTTCTGTTAGATCAGTAGTCACTGCTGACATTTTTGGAAAACTTGGCTAATCACACAATGTAGTATGCAATGAGAATTTTTTATCCTCAGCTTTTGGTTTTCCCTTGAATTAATACTTGTCTTTTTAAAAAAATGCTTATTTTAAAAACTACTTATCAATACTCCATTTCCAAACTTTCTCCCACCTGCCTATTTCTCTTCTTAGTCTCTCTTCAGATACATCATCAGCTATTGGTTCTATCCTAGAGATAGCTCTTCCGTGGCCTTTAGCTTGGTTTAGTTCTTATTGTCCTGGTGCACAGAGGTTATCTGAGATGTTCTACCATTACTAAGAATTCCCTTTGCTTCTCTGGAGCTAGATCTCCTGTTTCCTTGATTCCATGGCTGCTGCTTTCATATTTTTTTCTCTCAGTTTGGTGAAGCTCTGCATCTAGTAGCTTTTTTGAGAAAGATTGCCTAGAAAGTAAATTTTTGTGGTTTCTCATGTCTAAAATATCTTTCTTCATATTGGATTGCCTAGGTGTAGAATTCTGAATTGGAAATAATTTTTTTTTATATGTGAGGACATTACCCCATAGTCTTCTAGTTTACTGATGCTATTAAGAAACTCAAAAGTATTCTGGTAGTAACTTAACTTTTTGTAAGTAACTTGTTCCCCTGCACCTCTCTTGTTCCCAGCTTGTAGGATATTTTTTCTCCCATTATTCTGAAATTTCATGATGATTTACTTTGATGTGAATGGACTCCTTCAATCTGGAAACTTGTGTTCTTCAATTTTGGGAAAATTTCTTGACTTTTTTCTTGATTATTTTATTCACTTTATTCTCTGTTTTTGCTGAATTCTTATTATAGTATTCAAATATTGGACCTCTTAGACCCTGGAAGTCCTTTTGCTCTCCTTTCTAAGATAGTCCTTCAGCTTTTTCATTCTGAGTTTTTGTTTACTATGTGTTTTTATACTTACTATTTGTGTGCGTGTATAAATAAAAATTTCTGGGAACTTATTTTTTTAAAAATCTCCTTGGTATGGAAAATTTCAAATGTATGAAAAAGTAGAAAGTAGTAGCATGATGAATTCCTATATACCTATCATTCAGCTTCAACAGTTCCCAATTTGGGGTTGATTTAAGAGCTGCTTCTTATTTTCTGATTGATTCTTTTCTTTAAGAGACAGGAATCCTGTGGTGTTGCCCAGGCTGGCCTGTACTGGAATGCCTGAGCTCAAGCAATCCTCCTACCTCAGCCTCCCGAGTAGCTGGGACTTCAGGCATGTACCACCATGCCTGGCTGATTGGTCTTTTTTTATTGAATGCTATTCTTGTTTCCTGGATGTGAAATCTTAATCTTCTCTTATTTCTCTGAGAAGGTCTACTGATATTTAAGTTACTTAGGTACATAAAATAATATTTTTGCCGTTTAGCAGGGCTTGTCCCTGGGCTTCACTGGGGCAGATTTAAAAAGGGTCATTTGGGCCTTGGAGAATCCTTGATGATAAACTTTTTTAGCATTTACTCTTAGGTTTGTTAAATTTTGCCATAGAAGATTCTTCTGATCTCTCATAACTGAAAGAGTCTGTGTAACTGAGTATTCTGGAAGCTGAGTGGGAGAAGATTGCTAGGGATAGGTGCTAATGTCTCTGGTTTGCTGACTTTCACTAAATCCCCCTACTTTTACTACGATAGCCATACTCTTTTTTTTTTTTTTTGAGTTGGAGTCTCACTCTTTCGCCCAGACTGGAGTGCAGTGGCTGCTCCCGGCCACCGCAGCCTCGACCTGCCGGGCTCCGGCGATCCTTCCGCCTCAGCCTTCCGAGTAGCCGGAATTACAGGCGCTCACTACCACGCCCGGCTAATTTTTTGATTTTACTGTAGAGATGAGGTCTCACCTGCCCAGGCGGGTCTCGAACCCGCAGGCTCAGGCGATCCACTCACCTCAGCCTCCCAAAGGCACGGGATTACAGGCTGAGCCACCGAGCCCGGCTTGATAAGCCATACTCTTAACTTTGTCCTCCAGATCAGAGACTCTCTTTTACCTTCTCAAGAGAATAAACCTTTTTTGTTCTCTGGGCATAGGGAGGGGAAGTTACCTGTCTGCATATCATGGGATTAGGGTATCTGGGATTCTAACCTCTTCTATTTAGCCACTTCTTCCAGGAGAGCCTCTTCCTTAAAAGATTTCAACTGGTTCTCCTCTTTTCAGCCTCACCAAATCTCCACTTACAGAGCGATTTAATGTCAACAGTTTCTGAGTCTTTTGGAGGCTTTATAGTGGATTGCTTTTCAGCTTTCTCTACTGCTGGCTTAGGATTCGGGTAGCTTTGTTATTTCTGCTAATAACAATTGTTGTTTATCCTTTGTTTAATTTTTTTGTTCTCCAATTCTTTTTATCTTTGTAGCTTTGTACCTTTAACAAAAAATTCTCTTATTATCATTTTATTGGAATTTTGAGAAGGGATTACATGTTTGTTTTTAATTTGCTATCTTAAAATCCCAGCTATTTAATTTCAGTGTGAAGAAGTGTATTAAAAACAGAACAATGAATTATTTTATGAGTAATAACACTAAATTTTATGTTTTGAAGTTATCCTAGCTTAAAATGTTTGGGATTATAATAACAGTAAGAGATATTTAGGCCGGGCTTGGTGTCTTAGCCTGTAATCCCAGTACTTTGGGGGGCTGAGGCAGGTGGATTGCCTGAGCCCGTGAGTTTGAGACCAGCCCGTACAACTTGGCGAGATCTCGTCTCTACAATATGTAAAAAATTAGCGGGGCATGGTAGCGTGTGCCTGTGGTTCCGGCTACTTGGAGGGCTGAGGCGGAAGGATCACCAGAGCCCAGCAGATCGACGCTGGGTAGCCATGAGTGTGTCACTGCACTCCAACCTGGGCGACGGAGTGAGACTCCAACTCAAAAAAAAAAAAAAGAAATATATCTGATAGAAAATCAGATGCATGGTCAGTTTTCTAGTAGAAATTTTTTATGGCACTTTTAAATCTTTAGTAACAAGATTTTTCATGTTTAGTCTTTGTGTATTTTTTTTTAAAGCAGTGGTTTATAACAGGGATAAAAAGCTGCCATAGAAAGTCTAACCTTCACACCATAGGATTAGAAACTGCCAGAAATCCTTCATATTTCACTAAAAAAGAATAATCTGTAGCTCAGGAGAGGGGATCCACTTGACAAAGATGCATGCCTTTTCAAAAGCCAGCGTTGTATAGGAAGAAAGCCAGAGAACTTTGACTTCAGGAAAAGGGATATGTAGGGTTTTGGTTATTGATGGTTAGCATTTTTTTAAAGTAATTTTTGCCGTCCTTGAGTAGTAGAGATTGATTTGATGTAAAATCTGATGTATTTTTATTTGCTTTCATTCAGGGAGATGCGCTTATTTACATGGAACCAGAGAAACAAGTGATCTCCAGGTCTTCAGATGAATGTGTCGTGGCTCTGTGTGACCAGTGGTTAGTCTTCTCTTATCATAAGAAAATTCCCAGATCGCTGGGCACAGTGGCTCATGCCTGTAATCCCAGCACTTTGAGAGGCAGAGGCGAGAGGATGGCCTGAGCCCACAAGTTCAGGACTAGCCTGCGCAACATGGCGAGACCTTATCTCCACAATAAGTAAAAATACTAGCTGGGTATGGCAGCACATGCCTGTGATTCCAGCTGCTTGGAAGGCTGAGGTGGAAGGATCACCTGAGCCCAGCAGGTCGAGGCTGTTGTGGCCATGAGCGTGCCATTGCACTCGTGCCTGGGCAACAGAGTGGGACTCCGACTCAAAAAAAAGAAAATTCCCTTAGTCAGTTTGATTATCTTTGACTTAAAAAAAATCAATTTGGTCGCTCCCAGGTACTTGGATTATGGAGAAGAGAACTGGAAGAAACAGACATCTCAATGCTTGAAGAACCTGGAAACGTAAGAAGGGAGAAAGTGAAGAGGGTGGGGAAAGAAGATGGGAAACATGGAAACGATAAAGGTGACAAGAGACACCTTGTCTTTTCTTCTTTTCTAGATTCTGTGAGGAGACCAGGAGGAATTTTGAAGCTACCTTGGGTTGGCTACAAGAACATGCTTGCTCAAGAACTTATGGTCTAGGTAAACATATTTTTTTATTTGGATGACTTTGCCAATTACACAGCAAATACACATCCCCCCCCCCGCAGTATATTCTGAATTGAAAGCAAGAGGTTTTGGTTGTAGATTGAGGAAAACTAGGATGTGATCCCTTGTCATCTACCTGGTTATGGATATGTCCTCTCTAACCCATAGATTTTATGGTGTGATTTTTTTGTTTGTTTTTGAGTTGGAGTCTCACTCTGTTGCCCAGTTTGGAGTGCAGTGGCATGCTCATTGAAGAGACAAGGTCTCGCCATATTGCCCAAGCTGCTCTCAAACCCTTGGGCTCAGGTAATCCTCTCGCCTCGGCCTCCCAAAGTCCTGGGATGATAGGTATGAGCCATCGCACCCGGCTTTTTTTTTTTTTTTTTTATAGATACTGTAAAGCTTGAACCATTTTATTTTTTTATTTTTTTGAGTCAGAGCCTCACTCTGTCACCCATTTTGGAGTATAGTGGCATAATCACAACCATTGTAGCCTTGACCTGCTGTGCTCAGGTGATCCTTCTGCCTCAACTTAAAGTGCTGGTGTTAGCACCTGACCTTTTTCTTCTTTTAAATAGAAACCATAAAGCTTGAACCATTTTATTTTGTTGAGTCTGAGCCTTATTTTGTTACCCAGTTTGGAGTGCAGTGGCACGATCACAACCACTGCAGCCTTGACCTGCTGGGCTCAAGTGATTCTTCTGCTTCAGCCTTCCAAGTGGCTGGGGCTACAGGTGCGTGCCACCATACCTGGCAAATTTTTTGATTTATTGTAGAGACAAGGTCTCACCATGTTGCTCTGGCTGGTCTCAAACTCCTGGACTCAGTCAGTTTTCTTGTCTCCACCTCCCAAAGTGCTGGGATTACGGGTGTGAGCCACCATGCCCCAGACAAATTTTTTTTTTTTTTTTTTTTTTGGAGTCTGAGTCTCACTCTGTTGCCTGGGCTGGAGTGCAGTGGCACACTCACGGCCACTGCAGCCTTGACCTGCTGAGCTGAGGTGATCCTTCCGCCTCAGCCTTCCAAGTAGCTGGAATTATAGGTGCATGCTGCCACACCTGGCTTATTTTTTGATTTATTGTAGGGACAAGGTCTCACTAAGTTGCCCAGGCTGGTCTCAAATCCCTGAGCTCAGGCAATCCTTTCACCTCTGCATCCCAAAGTGCTGGGATTACAGGCTTGAGCCACTGTGCCTGGCCCCATTTTCTTTTTTATCTGCCATTTTAGCTTTATTGATTCCTCTAGTGGAATTTAAGAGCTCCTACATAAATAGCTTTGTAAATGCTATTGTCTTTTTGTTGTTGTTATTGTTGGAGTCTCACTCTGTCGCCCAGACCGGAGTGCAGTGGCCGCTCCCGGCCACCGCAGCCTCGACCTGCTGGGCTCCGGTGATCCTTCCGCCTCAACCTTCCAAGTAGCTGGAACTACAGTCGCACACTATCACACCTGGCTAATTTTTTTATTTATTGTAACGATGAGGTCTCACCAAGTTGCCCAGGCTGGTCTCAAACCCGCAGGCTCAGGCAATCCACTCACCTCAGCCTCCCAAAGCACGGGATTACAGGCTGAGCCACTGAGCCCGGCTCTTG